ATATATATATAATATAATATAACAAAAGAGGTACTCAAAATAAATATATTAACTTTTTTCTTTTTTTTTAAGTTTTTTTACAAACTTATCTATCGGTTTGTCAACCTACCTTTAGACAGAGTGAGTTTAGGCGTTCAACTTATTTTGCTTGGTAAGTCAGTTGACTTGTCCCATTTTTTGCGAGCTGATGATGGAATAAACCTAAATAGATCGAACTAACATGTTTTAACATCCTTTATGTATGAACTTATGTTCCAACCTTTTAAATGGATTTGAATCTTCTTAGTTTTGAAATAGTATATAATTATGAATCTCACCTTTAAAGTTAATAATTTTTTTTCTAAAAATTAATTTATTATGTAATAAAATAAGGAAATCTATGTAATCTTACTAGTAAACCATTGAGGATTGTACCCCTTTTAAATAATAGTAGTTTTTTTTTTTACTTTTATTGTAAACAGTTAGTGTAGAAAAAACTCTGCTGTTATGCGTATTTTGATTAAAAAATATAAATTAAAAAATACACGGACAAATAAAATGGACGGTGTTCTTTTAAAAAAATTTGTCATTGACTTCATATCCATTAGATATGGAGGTCACATTTTTTATCAACTATTATGTCAAATAAAATTGTTTTAGCTTAACCATTGATCTTGAATTCGAGTTTTAAATATATAGTTATGTTAAATACTCAAAGAATACGTTTTATTATTTATAATAATTAGATCAATGATCCATGTAATACATGAGATAATAGTTTAATCAACTTGTAATATCAAAATAATATTGAAATAAGATTTTAAAATATACATAATAACTACTCGATATGTAAATATTATATAATATATCAATAATGTAAAATTATTATATGAGAGATAGTTAAATTTTATTTTTGATAATTTAGAAATATAATGACAACATGTATATACTAATCCATTTCTTCACCACAACCCATAAAAAATGAACTTAATTAAGATGAAATAAAAGAAGAATAATAAAAATGAATTTTATAAAAGGATAAAAGGTTTAAATATAATTTTTGGTTTTTGTAAGTTTTTTTTTGTTATTTCATCCTTAATCTCTTATAACATGTCAAATATATTTTTTTATTGTCAACTACTGTGTAGCAAACAAAATGTATAAACTAGTTAATATATTTTACTTCACTATTGTCAATTAGGTAATTTAATTTTAATTTTTTTTAGACAAAATTTTGAAATGTACTTAATCGCACCCAAGCTCTCACGGTCACCCTCACCCTTATGATTGCACTTCCCCTCTCTAATCCAAATCTAATACTACTGTAACAGCCCAAGCAACCCGCATGTGGATATTGTCCGCTTTGGCCCACGGCCGGATATAGTCCCACATCGGTTAGGAAGGGGAACGAAGCATGCCATATATATGGGTGTGGATACCTTCCTTGTGTGGAGGCCTTTTGGGGTGGCATGCGTGTCATCGCCAAGAGCAAAACCGTGCGGCCGTGGGCCAAAGCGGACAATATCCTCATGCGGGTTGCTTGGGCTGTTACATTGGTATCAGAGCCGGGGCCCGGATCGGTGTGCCAGCGAGGGCGCTGGACTCCCTTGAGGGGGGGTGGATATAGTCCCACATCGGTTAGGAAGGGGAACGAAGCATGCCATATATATGGGTGTGGATACCTTCCTTGTGTGGAGGCCTTTTGGGGTGGCATGCGTGTCATCGCCAAGAGCAAAACCGTGCGGCCGTGGGCCAAAGCGGACAATATTCACATGCGGGTTGCGTGGGCTGTTACAACTACAATCCCTAAACCTCCCAATCTAAACTCCAATCCTCCTGATGAGGAACAACTTCTCACAATCCATGATCTTGGAAATGGTGTTGAGTTCATCCTCAACGATCATCGTCTTTACAAGGTTGCCACTTCACCACGAAGAGGTTTGCCCTCACGCTCAACTACTCTCCCATTGTGTCGGAGTTCTTTTCCCACAAGAGCATCTACCACTTTACTAGCACCATTGCCAATGTTGTCTCCTCTTTTGTTAAGAAGAACTTGCCAATTGACTAAAAACCATCAAGATTGTCGTCGTGTGCCATGGTTGTCAGAATAATGACAAATAGGACACCTCATAAAAAAAAAGGAAGGTCAATGATCCAATTTCACCACCACCCACCAATGATAATCACGACAAACATTTCATAGTCTTGACAAGTGTGTGCGAAAAGTAGGATGAAGTGACAATACTGAAATGTATTTTGAAACTGTCTAAAAAAAAATTAAAATCAATTTACCAACAATAATGAAGCGAAATATAACAAATATAACATGTATCTCATTTGCCACAAAACAAATTTTTAACAAAAGTTGATGACAAAAACTAGTTTTAAAATATTATTAAATATTAGGGATGAAACAACAACAACAAAAATTACAAGAACTAAAAGAGAAAAAATGATAATTTACAAGGACAAAAAATTTTAACCTTAATATAACTAGCCAAAAAGAAGATATTTCGTACCTCTGAGGTGTCTTCCTTTGAATAGACACATATTAGTGGGGTAATATGTTGTTATTGTCGATTTCAAGAATAAAACTTTTATACAAATGACTTTTTTTAACATTTATTAATTATTACCATGCAGATTTTTATACAAGGTTAAAATTGTCAAAATAATGTATGTACCAAAACCGGGAATCCCTTTTTAAATATATGTAGAGTAAATTGCATTTTTGGTCATTATATTTTTGTTAATATTGCAATTTTTGTTCTTCTATTCTAAAACAGAGAGATATAGTCCCTTATTTTTAAAATACAAAATTATAGTTCTACCATCAATTTGATATTTATTAATTGTTAAATTTTGACGTTATTCAATGACTTATCATAATTTAAGTGACGTGATATTTAGTGACATGATATGTAAAACAAAAATTTAAAAATAACATAAAAAATATTGTTTATCCATATTTTAACAAGTGATTGATATTTAATTATTTTATTAATAAATTTTATATGCATGATTTTTTTAAACTTTTTTCATCTCCAAATATTACATTACTAAATATTACATAATTTAACTAAAAATAATCATTAAAATTTATCGATTAATTGATCTCAAGAAAATCAAATATTTGTATTTTTAAAATTAAAAGAATTAAATATTTTTATTTTAAAATAAAAAAGACCAAAATTACAAATTTATAAAAATAACACGTAAGACAAAAAAAATATAAATTAAAATAGTTAATATGCGTAAAGTAAAATAGCCATTGCAGTCGAATTAAAAACGATAAATGAGCTTAAAATAAAGTAGTCATATGTTGCAGTACATATTAATTACTGTCAGCTATGGAACGTTACTAATTATTTGTCGTCGCAATTAAAAGTAATGGTAAAAAATCATATTTATATATAACTAATGTAGTTTGGTTTTAGTTGGTTTTTCATTTTTAAATTATAAATCGAACCGCTTGATTTAGCAAAATAAAATCGTTCGTTTTTTATTTTATATCAAATTTTGACTTTTTTAAATTTATTATTTAAGATATAATACATACTCCTCGACTTCCGCAACGAGCCTAACCTTAAAAATATAAGTTTAATTATGCTTTTGATAATTATAATTTCATAAAATTTTAGTTTCATATTTTTTTTTATTGTAGTTGTATAAATTTTATTTTTTCAAATTTTATAGAAATAAACATCAGGGAGTGAAACAGATAAAAAAAAAATAACATGTACATAGATTATGAAACATTTTTACTATAGAGACTAAAATATAAAATTTATAAAATTATAGTGATAAAAAATGATTAAAAACAATTAAAACTCGTACAAACAATTGTAAAAGCAAGTAAAATATACTAATAATAATCCCAACATGTTATTATATTAAAGCTCATAAAATTTTACGAGAAATCTTACTTAAACTAATAATTTAATCGATTAACTTCTATATATAAAATATGAGTAATTATTTTATACAATATTGTTTTTTTATGAGTTTTTCTTTAACTAAAAGATTTTAAAGATTCTTTTAATTTTATATTTGATTTTATTTTTATTTATTATATTTTT